GGTCGAAGGGCTTTGAAATGTCCAGTGAAACAATGTGAGTCCCTCCATGGTTACCGAGTGCAGATGACTGGGAATGTGATGTGAGTGCCAGTAGGTCCCCGTAGATCGACAAGGGCGAAATCTATATTGACGGTCTTTCGACAAACCGCATTCAAGAAACGTCGGCNCGGAGATAATAATTTCAAATATTTTCGAAATTACAGAAGGGAGAGCGATGGGACAATAGTCGTTGAGGACAGAAGGGTAATCAAGTTTTGAGATAGGAAAAATAATGGCATTTTTCCATGGGGCGGAAAAAATTTGAGATCGAGAGAAAAAACGAAAAGGCTGCGTAGAGCACAGGCTAATTCTGGGGCACATATATACGACGATAGGAGGAACACCGTCCATACTGGATGATTTACAAATAACCAGACCACCAAGGATTTGACGGACGTTTTTGTTTGTTATGATAAGTTTCACTTCCAGATCTTCGGTTTTTACAACCACTGACCATGCACTTTCGTGCACTAGTTTTGTTTGCTGTCTTTTAGTCGACCACTTGGATGAAAGAGCAAACTGAAGATGGGAATGTTGAAAGCAAATTCAAAGGAAAGGTAAAAAATTCATACCAACTGTTTGCGATACTCAGCCATATCACTCAGCGTCTCAAAACACCGGTTACCATGATCTCGGAGTCCCCATCCAGGGAGCCTAACCGTACCTATGCGAAAAAATGTCTTGGTTAGGTTCTTCATACCTTCACACCGGGTCTTATTTTGACCGCGCCTGACCACTTTCAATCCAATACTTGCTTCGACGAACATCCCTCGCCATAACAATCTATTTGGGGATATGCGCAACACGTGTCCCAACCAGAATAACCTATGGAGATCGACCACTTCTTTCAGTGGACGACAGCGATTAACTAACACTCTACGTCTAACCACAGCATTGCTCGTCCAGTTTGCCACCAGACTCGTGCAATACGACGTAGACAGCTAGTTTTATCCTTTTACCGTAATGGACCAGTCCCTGCACCGTAGAGCAGAACTGGCCGAACTGCTGCAGCATACACTCGACTCATCATGGAGAGCCGGATACCGCGACGACATCACAAATGTTGACAAATGTCAATCGGGCATTCTTCATACGTGCCAACACTTCATTCACGATATGCATCCATCCGGTGAGATATAGCTGCCCAAATAGCAAAATTTGACTACTTAATCTACCACTTCCCCAGTCAGGGACAACCCAATCTTGTAGCAAAATTGTGCACTTCTAAGGTGCAAAGTGCATACCGAATATAGCTACACTAGCATTCAAACTATCCAGAAACGCTTACAACTTACCTGGAAATTCACTTAGCAGCATAATGTCGTCAGCATACTCCAAATCAAACGGTCTACGACCCGGGAGCAAATCGATGCCGCTATCTTCGCACGCGGATAGGGCTGTTTCAAAAATTACATCTATGATAAACTTAAATAAATGTATGGCGACCACGATTGCCGTTTTCCAATCATGTGGTATCCTGCCCTGTTCCAGAGTTTTGTTGTACAGGTGGCAGAGTGGGCCACGTAGAATCTCAGCTGTGTTTAACTAAGGCTTGGTGGATGCCATCTGGGCCAGCAAATTTTGTGGCGCTAAGCTCGCACATTCGTGCGCCGGTTTTGGTTGCTGTCTTTTGGCTGCCCGTTTGGATGAATAGGAGAAAGAAAACTTGAGAGCAGATATGAAAAGAAAATGGAGAAGTTCAGTGGTCTAAGCTTGCAAAGAAATTGAGAAGATGCACGAACGCCACTGGTTGCGACACCCAGCCATATCACTCAGTGTCTCTAACCATCGGTTGCGATCATTCCGAGGTCCCCAGCCATGGAGCCTAACAGGACCTATGTGACCCAGTCTCCTGGTTAAGGTTTTCATACCCTCATTCCAGGTCTAAGCTTGACCACCCTTGACTTTCTTCCACTCGGTGTCTGCTTCGGCGCACATCGCTTGCTGTGGTAACCTATCTGGTGACATGCGTGACACATGTCCCAACCAACGTAATCTATGGAGGTCGACCACTTGCTCCAGTGGGCGACCGCGGATACCCAAAACTCTGCCCCTAACCTCAGCATTGCTCATCCGGCTACACCACCAGATTCGTGTAATGCTGCATAGACAGCGGTGTTCAAACACCGACAGTCTGTCTTTATCCTATTTCCTCAATGGCCAAGTTTCTGCACCGTATAACCGGACTGGTCGAACTGTCGCAGCATACACTGGACCCTTCACAGACAGCCGGACGTCGAGACGGCGCCACAGATGTCTCAAGTTAGCAAATGCCAACCGAGCAGATCATTGATGTAGAGCAAGAATAGGAGTGGACCTAGAACTGATCCCTGAGGAACACCACTGGCAATATTTTCCATTGGCGAGTTCGCTTATCCGACCCAAACCACGAAGGTCCTATCGGCCAGGAAAGCTGTAAGCCA